AATCATCTATAAAACTTAGGAAGTACCTTTCGTTGCTATTTGATTCTGGTTTAATGGGTCCACATATGTCTGTGTGCACAAGTTGAAGCTTATATGATTCTCTCCATAAGGTCTTTTTAGCCATAGAATCTCTATGTTGTTTACTGATCAAACATCACTCTGTACATAGCTTCTCCAGAATTTGGATTGAAGGCAACCCATTTGCCATTTTTATATAAAAAAGTATCCTTAATCTTTGATAGCTTAAGTGACCAAAGCGACAAATCCAAAGATAAGATTCATTTTCTAACACGTCTTGAAAGCATGCAGACTCATTTGACATCATGGAAGCTACCAAACAAAATATTTTATTTTCACGCATGATTGTTTCCATAATTAATCCTTTTGTTGGATGATATCTCATACATTTCCCTTGTTGAATCAAAATAGATAAGCCTTTATCTTGTAGTTGTCATATGCTGAATAAATTGTTCTTTAACTCAGGAATATAGTAAATATTCGAAATTACCTGAGTAAATCCGTTCACTTGCATACAAACATTTCCTTTTCCAATAACAACCATTCTACTGTCATTTCCAAGTTTTACAGTATGCCTGAAGCCTTCGTCTAAGTCTAAAAATCACTTTTTGTTTCCACTCATATGATTGCTACAATAATATGGAGTTGACTACACTGATGTATTTGCTCCAGTGGCCAGACTGGATACCATTCAATTGATACTTGCTTTGGCTGCTCAACACAGTTACAATGTTTTTCAATTGGATGTGATAGAAAATGAAAGGGAGAGTTTCATTGATCTGAAACTCAGGGGAACAAACCTGAGTTTGTGCCTTAGTTCTAAGAACTTAGTAGATGCCAAAGGCTTAGTGGGCACATCAGCTATCTGATATGTACCAAGAATGTGCACAACAGACAACTTATTGGCTAACACTTTCTCCCTGATAAAAAACAAGTCAATTTCCATATGCTTTGTCTTGGAGTGCATGATGGGATTGTGAGCAAGTAATACTGCAGAAAGATTGTCACAAAGCACAACTGGAGGCCTGATAACTATGTTGAGTTCCTGCAGGAGAGTTTGAATCCATAACAAGTCTGCTGTAGCCAGGGGATCTGTATTCAGATTCAGTACTACAACGAGCCACAACTGGCTGTTTCTTTGACCACCAGGTGATGAGATTCTCACCAAAGTAAATAGCAGCACCAAATGTGCTTCTTCTGTCATCTGGGTCAGATGCCCAGTCTGCATCACAAAAAACCTGCAGTGATGAGGGGAGGAGGAAGGAAGAGGAAGGAAGAGGAGTTAGGCAAAGTGTAGTCACTGATAGCAGGAACATCACGTACAACTTGAGTGAGGTTCAGGGAAGCAAGATCAGGCACACATAGACCTTTTTGAACTTGGTAAGACGAAGTTCATGAGCAACCAGAAGAAACTCCACAACATCAATATCCATAACACCAAATTTGCTTTCAATTACAAAGACAACTGGAGCAAATTCAGAAGGTAATCCTTCAAAGATTACATCTATATGATGAGAAACTGGCAATGGATCACCAATTGATTCAAGAGCATCAATAATGAGTCTGATCTTGAGAAGGTAACCCTGAATAGTCATAGAATCAAGCTTCATAGCACGCAGTTCAACACGTAGTTGTCTAGCACGAGCACATGTTTGTTTTTGGAAGTACTGAAATAGACGATCCCACAGTTTGTGAGCATGAGTGCAACCTAGCACTCGAGAGAGAATTTCGCTCGATAACGTGGATTGGAGCCATGATAACAACGATTGATCTTTCTGAAGCCACACAGAATAAGCAGGATTTTCAAATCCAGATTTGCGAGCCTGATCATCAACGAATCGAGGCGGAATTCTCGAACAAATGACGAATTCAGTGAGACCATGCGCGTTGATGAACGGTTCGACTTGTTGTCGCTATAGATGGAAGTTTTTCTCGTTAAGCTTTTGCGAGAGTTTAAGCGCGAAATTGAAATGACAAAGATCATCGAAAGCTACCGTCGCAGTCTTCACCGGTGTCGGACTTTCGTTATCGGAATTGGGACGAGTGGCAGAAGGTGACGGTGGCGGCGAAGGCGCCATAACCGTGGATCGAACGAAGCTACGCTACTTCTACTGATACCATGATAAAAAGTGAAAGCGAGAGTTTCATTGATTCTCAACAACTTTTCATTGATCTGAAAGTTAGTTACAAAATGCTAACTAACTTTCTTTTATATTACAAGATAGATGACATGCTGTAGCAGGTTAGGCCTACTGACACCTTGACGGGTGTCCGTTACAAGATATCAAAATATCTAATTGCCTTAACTAGCTACTACTTTTAATAGGATGTAAAGAGTGCATTTCTTCACGGTGAACTTAATGAAGATGTCTTTATGAAGCAACCATTAGGATATGAGAAGAAAGGTGAAGAAAAATTTTACAAGCTGAAAAAGGTGTTGTGTGGCCTTAAACAGGCACCAAGAGCACGGTATAGCAAGATAGAAGCATACTTTCTTCGAGAAGGTTTTGAAAAATATTTTTGTGAACTACATTATTTACAAAAACAAAGGAAAGAAGCAAGTTGTTAACAATAAGTCTTTATGTTGATGGTTTAATATATACTGGGAATGATAGGAATATGTGTGAAAAATTTAAAAGAAAGCTTTTGCGAGAGTTTAAGCGCGAAATTGAAACGGCAAAGATCATCGGAAGCTACCGTCGCAGTCTTCACCGGTGTCGGACTTTCGTTATCGGAATTGGAACGAGAGGCAGAAGGTGACGGTGGCGGCGAAGGCGCCATAACCGTGGACCGAACGAAGCTATGCTACTTCTACTGATACCATGATAAAAAGTGAAAACGAGAGTTTCATTGATTCTCAACAACTTTTCATTGATCTGAAAGTTAGTTACAAAATGCTAACTAACTTTCTTTTATATTACAAGATAGATGACATGTAGCAGGTTAGGCCTATTGACACCTTGACGGGTGTCCGTTACAAGATATCAAAATATCTAATTACCTTAACTAGCTACTACTTTTAATAGGATGTAAAGAGTGCATTTCTTCACGGTGAATTTAATGAAGAGGTCTTTATGAAGCAACCATTAGGATATGAGAAGAAAGGTGAAGAAAAAATTTACAAGCTGAAAAAGGTGTTGTGTGGCCTTAAACAGGCACCAAGAGCATGGTATAGCAAGATAGAAACATACTTTCTTCGAGAAGGTTTTGAAAAATGTTTTTGTGAACTACATTATTTACAAAAACAAAGGAAAGAAGCAAGTTGTTAACATTAAGTCTTTATGTTGATGGTTTAATATATACTGGGAATGATAGGAATATGTGTGAAAAATTTAAAAATTCAATGATGGTAGAATTTGACATGTCTGATTTGGGAAGGATGCGGTATTTTTTAGAAATTGAGGTAATACAAAATCCAAATGGGATTTTGTTTGTCAAAGAAGGTATGCTCTTGAAGTCTTATGACATTTGGAATGAATAATAGTAATTTAGTGCAAAATCCTAATGTGCGCGGAACAAAGTTATCAAAGAATAATATGAAGGAACCAAAGTTGATGCAACTTTATACATGAAGATGGTTGGAAATTTGATGTATTTGATTGCAACAAGACATGATTTAATATATGGAGTAAGTCTCATTAGTAGATTTATGTCTTGTCCAACTGAATCTCACTGGCTTGCAGCAAAAAGATACTAAGGTACCTCAAAGGTACAATTGAGTTGGGTATTTTTTATAAAAAGGGAGACAACTCAAACTTGGAGGCATACACTGACAGTGACTTTGTCGGTGATTTAGATGACCGGAGGAGCACTTTTGAATTTGTTTTCTTGCTTGGTTCTGCAACAGTGTCCTGGTCCTCTAAAAAACAACCTATAGTGACATTGTCGACTACTGAGTCTGTAGTTGCTCTATCTTGTGCTTGTCAATGTCTTTGGTTAAGGAGGTGTTATCAAAATTTGGTCATAAAGAGAAAAGGAGCACTCTGATTCAATTTGATAATAGCTCTACAATAAAGCTTTCAAAGAATTAAGTTTTTCATGGTAGAAACAAATACACTGATATCAAATTTCATTTTTGAGAGATTTGGTAAAAGATGGAGTTGTGGAATTAAGTTACTGCAATTCTCATGGACATGTTGCAGACCTAATAACAAAGCCTGATAATATTTGAAATTTCGTAAGATGATGGGAATGGTTAAAGCTTAAAAAATAAACTAAATGCATTATGCATATAGTTTAAGGGAGGGAATGTTAAATATTTGTGGTTATTATTATTACTATGTTTTATGTGTATTATTATTAGGAATATGACTTGGTAAATAGTCTCCACTTAATAAAGGCTTGTAACGTGGTGGCTTCTATTTTAAGTTTTTCTATTTTTAAGTCAATTGTAATATTATATATATCGCGAACTCTTATTCTTAATAATAACAAGACATTCTCTCTTATATTCAATATAATAGTTATTAGTTTTTAAATGCTCTTTCATAAAAGATTGGTTAATCGGCCCACGAGATGTAAGTTCTAATAGGAACGAGAATGAGACTAAAATTAGTTGTGAATTACTTGATTGATAGACTTTTAGTCTCCTGAACTTATAATAATCTCCTTAATAGTTAATGATATTGTTGTGTTGTTTTTCTATTGCCATGAATGACAGGTATCTGTCCCTTTTTTCTTGTCTGAACGAATTTGTTCTGAATAAAAATAAGGGTCATGCTAACATGTGCCCTTAGGGCACATGTTAAAGATATTATAATTAAATTTTTTTAAATGTAATTAAATGTAATAAAGTTATATTTAAAGATTCAAAACATTGAATGCACGTGTTCCAAGAAAATATTTTTATAAATAGCTTATTAACTTGTGCCCTTGAGGCACATGTTAGCTTTTTCCTAAAATTAAAAGTTTTTTTTTTCATTTTTCTTTGCAAAACTACTTGACACTAGACTATATCTGATTTTTCTTCCTTGTATACTTAGGAATTGTGAAATCAAATCGATAGTTCCATATGGAGTGTTTGTAGAGATAGCACCTGGACGAGAGGTACATACTTTCACCTAGCTGTCAAAAGAAGTTTTAAAATTATAGTTGTTTCTTCCGGTGTTATAAATGTTTTAGAGCTAATATTTATTATTCTCGTGTTTATAATTACTCAGATGATCAGAAAAATTCATTTGATAATACTTTAAAATGTTTTAAAGAAAAAAGGTAATGCTTCTCTAGAATGATGGAAATTCCAAACTTTGTAATTGATATTTGGAGGTTTCTTCTCATTTTATGTAGGGACTTTGCCATATTAGTGAACTGAGTTCAGGTTGGCTAGCTAAGGCAGAAGATGTAAGCATTTTAATTTGATTCCTTTTTCAAAGAACACATATTGTCCTTGTACCCGAAATATGGTAGAATACTATCTGACTTACATTTTCCCAGGCTTTCAAGGTGGGAGATCATATTGATGTAAAACTTAAAGAGGTATGTTATTTTACTTTTTGTTAACTTTAAATCACGTTGAACTTTATCAACGGTCCTAAAGTACCCAGGTTTGTAGTACAGTTTTCTAGGTAGTCAATCCCTAACAGCAACTCGGATCTCTGCTGACCCCAAAAGTGGGGTAGTACTATAGCTTGTAGCGAGGTGGCCATTATTTGATAAGTTGTTTTGGACAAATTACATGGATAATTATTTTCACTAAATTTGTGTTTAATAAATTAATTCAGTCTGTATAAGTTAACAAACATTTATTAACGTGTTAACAAATAATTTCATTTCCTACTGAAGCTAACCATTTAGTAATTGAAATTATTGAATTGCCTGATTTCACTGTGTTAGCAACTTATATTAAAGGGTGAAATGTTTAGAGAATGGTTCCTCTGAACATAATTTTTGTTATGGTACAAGATTGTTTGCTACTGCTGAACTTAGGGAAATAATCACCTTCCCTATATATTATATTTGATGGACATTGTATTCTTGTTTTCTAATATTTGATTTAACCGAGTATCATGGTATGCATTCTTTCTAATGGATTTTAACTACACGTTGCAGATAAATGAAAAGGGACAGCTGCGTCTTAGTCACCGAGCATTGCTTCCAGATGCAGATTTAGACAATTCAAACTCAACTGATAAGAGTCCATTGGAAGAAGTAAGCAGCCTGACAAATCCTGGTTTATTTGAATCTAAAAGAAGTTCAGAGGACAATTCCGTACTTCCATCAAAAAAGTTTATCAGGAGAGCGGTTAGCCCTTCCCAGGAGAAGCCTGTCACGAACAAAGACAAGATAAAGAAGAGCAGCAACAAAGTAATCAGTAGTGTCTCTCGCAAAGATAAAAGTAGTTTGGTTGGTGAAGAGGCATAAAATTGAGAGCTAAAATATTTCCAACGAAAACTGAGAATGATATAATGTTTATGATAAACATGGTTTCATATGCACACAAAGGAGGCTGCCACTTACAAACTAACAAATAAATGGTATGAGCAATCAATATCATTCTCCTGATTCACTCTCCCTGAACAGATGCTATTTACAAAAGATTTTTTGTCACATCATGAACCGAGAGTATAGACACTTACGGGACTATTTTTTAAGGCACAATCTTGCTTGTGAAGGAAAGATGCCACAGAGTTTTACTATTCGAAGCTCCCTTTGTATAGTCTGTAAATCTCACTTGTATTGCATCAGATGTTTGTATGTGATAATAGTGTAATTGGAATTTTTTTCTGTTTCTCCCAATGATACCTCTGCTTATGCCTTGTGCTCTAATCTTCAATTATTTAAATGATGCTTCCTGTGATAACTCTCATTTTGGAAGTATCCAATATAAATCTTAGTACAATAGTACTATCTTACATGTGATACGGGAGAATATTATTGTGCATGTGCACTACATTGAATTTGGCGTTTCTTTTTTGGCTAATTGAAAAATAATATTTTCAGAATTTAACATGTCACTTTATAAAGATTTTACTTCCCACCCTTCAAATTACATGGCACTTCCTCTCTCCCCTATTTTTCATTATTCTAGAAATGTCCTTGGTGAGATAGGAATAATTTTGGAGATTTCTTAATCCACTCCATATTCTCCATATTTTTCTAGCACACCATGTGAAATTTCAAAAATATTTCTAAAATTTAGAAATGCATTTCTGGAACGTATCCACACATAAAATTCGTTTGTTTTTTAAGATTTATTTTATTTTTTGATAAATTTTATTCTGAAAATGCACTTCCGATAGACAAATCAATCAACATATTAACATAGTCCATTTGGAAATGATTAAATACAATAGTTCTGCACCCAAAAAAAATCAACAATCATGAACAAGTATCAAATTGAAAAGGTTCCATAGTCCATTTCTTACACCTTTCAATAAAACATAACTTCACTAACTTAATAAAACAAATGTTGAATTCTTAAAGAATAGACTACAGAGCAGCTATGAAGAAGACGACGACGAAAATGGATACAAGGACTAAAGACATATTTGAATTGGCTTATTTGAGACTCATGTTTTTTTATATAAGATATAACTTATGACATAGTTTTGGACAATTTATAAAAACAGCTATATGACAAATGGCTAGAAATCGGAAATACATTTCCGAGATCTACCGGAAATGTATTTTCGAAAAAATTTATATTGTAAAATGGGAGTGTATCTTAAAAATGAAAGAATTATATGAATTATGGTGTGTATTGAAAATGCATTTCCGGTATTTCGAGGACATTTTCGAAATTGTATGGGGTGTTTTTTATCTATAGGGGATGAATTAAGAAATTCTTAATCTATCCCATATAATTGAAAAAGACCCTATACAATTCTAAAAATACTCCTGAAAAACTGAAAATATATTTCTAATTCACACTCTACGACAAACTTTACACCGGAAGTGTACATCAGAAATTTTTTGAAAAGGCACTTTCGATAAAATAGTTTATCACCTGAAGAACGATACATAGCACTAACTAATATTAGTGTGAAGCTCAACATGAATACTTTCTGAAGTACACTTACAAACTCCTAAAATTTAATGATATTACCTTGATGGTTCATTCTCACGTACTCTTTACAATCTAAATTATATGAAGAAAAATATTGTGAATTTTTGTAAACATATTCTTTACAAAGTAGATTATGGCCAAAGTACAAAAAAATTAGTGTGGTATAGAAATCATATAGATTTCAGTTTCCTTTCTATATGTAAATTTAAATTTGAATGGGCTCATCTTCACATGTTAACTCAAATAACTCTTGGATAATGAGAAAATTGAAAATCATATAAAAGATAAGCTTCACAGTAGCATTAGTTAGGGCAATGTAGTGTGCTTCATGTGATAAATTGTTCTAACGGACGTGCATTTTTAGAAATTTTTGGAAGTGTATTTTCAGATTAAAATTTATCGTAAAATAAGGTGAATTTAAAAAACAAATGAATTATATGTGTGTGAATGCGTATTGGAAACACATTTCTGATTTTTGGGGGTATTTTTAGAATTCCGTATGGTGCGCTAGAAAAGCATGAGGTGAGTTAGAAAATTTCCATAACTTTTTCGAACGAAATTTCTGGTATAGTATGACATATGGGTGTTCGTGGGCTGGTTTGGTTTGATTTTGGGAGAATTCGATGCCAATACCGATAAAAAATAAAGAGGATTTCTTTTTTCACCCTATAATTTTCTAGCGCACCACACGAAATTCCAAAAATGCCCCATAAAATCGAAAATATATTTTTGGTGCGCACCTTGCCAGACATAAATTATATAAAATACTTGGGTGCTAACCAGGAATATATTTCCGGTTGCAACCAGATGTATATCTTTGGTTCATTTTGAGACTTAAAAGGCGCGCTGCCTTTTCTCCTCCCTTTGCAGCAGAAAGTTATTTCAAAAAAGAAAAACAAAACACACAAATCCATTCATCTCAAACCCCATTGTTACGAAATCAACTACTTCGCAAAAAGCTCGTCAGGAATCGTCAAGCATCAGTTAACTCAAGTGTTCAGCAACATTCAATCAAGAAAACTCATCAATTGTAAGTTGTTTTTGATTTTTTTAGAGTTTATGTAATTTCTACTCAAATTTGTGATTTAGGTTAGAAATTGTGATTTTGTTGTGTGTTTTATTAGGAATCATTAGAAATGTGTTGGAAGTCTCACTTTTATGATCAATGACATTTTTTTGGAGGCCATTTGGGGCTTTACTTCGTCATTGACGAAGCTTTGTAATTGCAGGTCGTATCGGAAATATATTTTCGATTTTCAGTTTAATGTTGAAGAAAACTGGAAATCCATTTATGATTTTCGTCTGTATCCATTTCCCCCTTATTGTTGAACATTATTCCTTATGTTAACGTTTATTTTATACGTCTACAAGAGTAATGGCTGAAAGACCATCTAGGTTAAGGTACGACAGACTTGCACAACATGCTTCTGAATGGAGGAAAATGAGTCAGGCATCCTAGGCTCCTTCTGTCTCTGGACAGGTTGTGCCAGATGCGGATACTACAACCTCTGTCTCTTGTATTCTTATTTCTACTTTGACTGCATCATCCTCCCATAGTAGGCGAGATTCTCCAGTTCATCCCTCCCCGCCCTCGTCCTCCTGTAGACGTACTTCCTCACCGATGGTATTTGAGGTGGGAGAGGCAACCATTTCCCAACCGACACTAGAGGTCTCACAGGCGACACCTCGGGCCCAACCACCTCCTGCATCCCTAACACCTGAGGCAGCACCCCAGACATCTCAGGCACCTGAGCAGGCGTCTCACGATTTTGGTGGAGGACCTTCTGATTTATCTTTGTTGCCTCTGTACTCAGACCATGTTGGTAGACATATATGGGATGGAGAGGTGTGAATTTTAACTTGTTTCTTCTATTACATTTTTATTATGGATTTCGTTGAATGAATTTTGTCAAACCATGTATGCAGGAAAGTGATCTTCCGAAGGTTATTAATCATGGGTGTATATTGACCGTATGGTGTTTGAGAATATACACTTTCATTCATACCACAACCATCGCGTCACGATACCATTTGATGATCTTGCGCTGTTCACAAGATGGTTGGCTCGCGGGTCGTGCAAGATGACTGCTTATTGTCTGAGCACGTCATGTGTCAGTTCGGGTACACCCAGTATATTCCTCAGGATACTGTTGTATCTGCTCCTTCCCTGGTGAAACGCAGGGATATGGATGCCTTGTTTAATGATGATGAGAATCATCTTGTTCCAGATGAGGCCCAAAGTACCAATTCTCCAAACAACTGGAGCTACGTGGACGATTATATCATATGGTTCTTTAGGGTGTCCCATCCATACCTGGTACATGATGTTCTAGGAAACCCACCGAGGCCATCTCATCAGGATATTCTAGAGGAGGAGCAGGCAGATGTCGATCATGCCTCCGATGTGTTTCTTAGGTGTCATCGTATCATGGAGATCGCGCTTGCGGGTGTTGATGGAGGTTTATTTCTTGATGGGTATGATGTTAGAGGTGTTCTGGATGTCATCATGACAGAGGCTCAAGGGGCTTTGCTTTACAGGAGGCAGCGGAGGAATATTGGGAGGGTGACGGACCGAATTAGAGTCTGTCATACCTAGTAGTCTTGATGTTGTATATGTATTTTGGTTATCATTTTTTTATTGTATTTGGATACTATTTTGGGTTACCCCATATATTGACTACAGACACATTTTGTACTGTTTATTGATATCTATTTATATATGTCTTTGTTCTACATGTGTTTGTAGTATTTTTATTATATACGTCTTTGTATTCAATACAAAATAACACGCAAAAATACCCACTGCCAGCATAAGTCTTTCTGGTACTGTCTGCACAGAAATCGGAAATACATTTCCGGTTTGCTTTGCAAATATATTTCGGGTTTTCTAGATAAGGTTTACCAGAAAAAGGTGCGCAACATAAATATATTTCCGGTTTCAAAGGACATTTTAGGAATTGCGTATGGTTTTTATTTTCACTATAGGGTGGAAAGAGAAATTATCAAAATAAATGGATTGGTTTGGATTAGATTCACATATTTTTTCTTAAAGCCCAAACTGAACCAAACCGACAAACAACATGTTGGCTTGGGTTTGATTGATCGGATACATTCAAAACAAATGTGTAAAAATATTTTTTAAAAATATCCAATTTACATCAACTAATTTTCTAAAATTTTATAAAATCTCTATTTTTTTTTTCATTTTTTCCATATAGGTTATGAATATCACAAATGGTGTTTCATTTATTTTTTTGAAGTTGAAAATCTTATTTTAGTTTCTATGATAGTGATGATATATATTATACTAATTAATTATGATTTGTTCAGGTAGATGGGCTCATGGATAGAAGTT